TTAATACATAAAGAATCTGTAAGAAGAATAAGTACACTGAAATTAAAATTAGAATTTTCCAAAATTCTACGAACAATTATTATTCAAAAATATGAAAGACTTAATGTTTTACACATTCAACTCTGATAATAGAAAAGAATCAGCTAATTCTTATATGATTGAAATGAGTGTTATGATGTAGTTTTAGCACAACGAAATAATATAAATATTAATTTATATGGTTTAAACAAAATTTACCTTTATATCACTTCAGTTATTTCAGTATTAAACCAAGAAAATATTTTTTATGAAATAGGAAAAACACATATTGAGATATAAAACAATAAAATTAAAAAGGAACTAAGAAATTAAAAGAACTAAGAAATGACGAAGGAAGAATGGAACCAATTGTTGACCCGATCAACATCACACAAATAAATATTGAGAAATATGGAGAAGGTGTATTTTCTTCAGAAAATCCAATAACGTCATCAGCGACAATAGATAAAGATATGGTAATGTTATCAACAAAACAAGGGATATTATTATACAACATCACAACTAGGTCAGTAGACCGTTATTTTTCTGAAGGACCTGTTTTATATAAAATTCATTTAATTCCTGAATATTCGTTAATGGTAGCTCTCAAACTATCACGAATTGTTTTCTATATTTATCAGCCACAAGCACAAACATTAAACCAATTTCTTACTCCAATGGTCAGATTGACTACTAACGCGATTCAATATCATACCATCACTATGACTTGTCTTAAGAAATCTATTGTTATTGCTGGAGTTGATAAAGATACAAAATGTGAATTAACTGTTGGGCAATATTCTTTTAATGGTAATGTGTTACAAAAAATTACATTAATGAATTCGAATGAAAGCATTGTAGATATATGTTTCATTAATATTTGTCTTTGTGTTATTACTACAAATGAATTAAAAGTTATTCCTTGCTTGAGAAAAGGACGAGTGTTATCTAAATCAATCAAATTAAATGAACTCCCTTCATTTACTCGTATTTCCCCTGCTCAAATTCTTGTTAAAATTAACTCAGAATTATTTTCATTAACTGACACTTCTATTGTACCAATAGAGTCTACTGCACCAATCAATGGTGTATTGTTATTACCTCCATTGATTCTATTGTTTCATGAATTGAATCCCCATCGATTTTTTATGTCATACATCATTAATAACAATAATAAACCATCACAAATGGTAAGAAGACCTGAATTTACACATATAACAAATATTATTTCTCCTTTAATATTTTGTTTACCTTGTAATAGACTGTGCATTGTTTCACTCAAAACAGAATATTATAAGCAGTTATTAATTGAAGGAAGGTTAGAAGAGGGGTTATTAATGAATAAACGAGGTACTGAAGAAGATAGAAAATGGGATATATCAGGATGTGTATTGAGAGTATATGAATTATTAAGTCAAATTTATCAAAATTACAAGATTGAAAAAGTGATAAGAAGTGAATCATTAGAGGAAATACTTAAATTGTTAAATAGAACAAAAATGAATATTTTATCAAATAGTATTATCATTGAATACATTATCAGAGATTTTTGTCCTTCATTATTTCATTCTATGCACTCTCTATTTCAATTAGGTACAAATGATATTTCAATGAAAATAATGGAACAATTTCCTGAACAATTATATCACAGACTAAATGATTTAATGAGAATGTTTCTTGAATTAAGAGCAAGTATGATTAAAAAGAAATTAATTCCTACTTTAGCAATACCCCCACGACATGCATTTCTTCCAGTGTATCAAGCACATTTTGATAGTGATGATAAAACATCAGCGACAGCATGTGTATTAATTCAATTATATATCTTTAGCAATACAATTACACCATCTATTAAACAATATATTAATAAACATAAAAATATTGATAACTCTATAATTGAATTGGCATTAAAACCATATGAAAGCTGTCTATTAGATTTTCTTACGTTGATGGATGATGTTCCTCGTATTATGGGATTAAAACTCAGTGATCCATTATTAAGATTAGATGCTCTTGTTTCAATTGCTAAAAATCGACAATGGAATGGAGAAATTAATGATCCATTAGCAATAGCATTTCAAGAAATTGTAATTACATCATTTAAAAGATTATTATATTCACCAATAATAGATGGAAGTAAAGAACTTCAAATTATTTTATTTAGAATCTTTGGAGGAAAAGATTCTTATTTACCACCAAAGGTAGTACTAAGTTTATTAGAGGCATGGGAAGTATCAAAAAATTCAATGGTTAATAATGAAGCATCTAAACGAATGAAGATATTATATTTAACTGGATTGTTAGATCAATATCAAAATGAAAAAGCACCTGATTGGTTAGTTAATTGGTGTTTTGTTGAATATGTTCAATACACACATTCTATGGCATCATTAGGTGTAAAAGTACCTTTAAATTTATTAAATAAATGTATTTGTTTAATTGAAGAATATCCACAAATTGCAAGTCAATTAGAAAAGATAACGAATGTTTTATCATGGGAATGTTATCCAATTAGTTGTCCAATAGCATTTTCAGTATCTCAAGAAAAAGGAATTGATCATTTTATTTCTGTTATTAGAAAATTTTACTCAAATGGTCAAGACACTACTTTAGGTGAAACTGGAATGATTTTAAGAGTTGAAGATGATTTATTTAATTTTATTACTACTTTGAATGATCGTTTTGGTAACACTATAGGTGTCTCAAATAGAAGTACATTATTAAATCAATTTAAGTTTTATTTACCACAATTAAAAAATGTGTATCAACCATTTTTAACTCCATCAATTGGAACAGTAGAATTAGAGTTAATTCTTTATTTACAATTACAAAAAAATACTAAATTAATTCATTACACAATCATTAAATTATTAGACTCGTATAATGCAATACCTTTGGGATGTGTTGAAACACTCTTACAAACATTACAACCAGAACAATTACCAATAGAATGTTTTAAATTATTTCTTCATAGGAAATGTAGTAATGACTTACAATATTATAAACAGTTTTTAGCATTTATGATATATTATATTGAACAAATACCAAATAATACTGATATAATTATTGATTATTACCTTGAATATTCTGGATTACCTGGAGAAGACGATATTAATGCAAAAGAAAAATTAATAAATATCTTAAATGACTCTCCTTATTATCAAAAGAAACTGAAACAAATGGAAAATATTAATTGGAGAATTAGAGCACGATTAATTTATTTAAATAGTAAATATAAAGGATTATTAGAATATTTAAAAGTATTTATAGAAGAATATAAAAAGAATAAAAACTATTTTGAATTATTTGAAAATGATTTAAAACTATTCTTTGATAAAGACTATCGTGAAGATGAAATTCGTAGTATTAGAAAATCATTTAAACCATTTTGTGAAGAAAAAAAATGTGTTTTAACAGAAACCATTTATTATTGTGTTTCTATGGCACCAGATGGAGTTACTTCTCCATTATTAGGTGTTTTAATGAAAGAGTTAGATTTAATGCAAGCACCAATTAAATATAATGTACTTATTTTTAATTTATTTTATAAGCAAATTCCACCATATATTTCTACTGAACATGATCAATGGCTTGGAATTAAATCTCCTAAAATTTCATCAAGAATTCATTTTAATATCTACACTTATTTGATTGATTCTCTACCTTCAAATATTCTTATCCCTTTATTACAGAAAAGTGTTCCATGTGCAGCAACAGAATATTTTAGTCTTCGTTTTAAAGAGATGGGATTAAGGACATATCAACCAATTCTTTCTACTAGATTTGAAACTCAAACAATAAATACCAAATGTGGTGTTTGTGAAAGAGTAATTAAAAGTGGTGATAAATTCATTGTTAAAAATGGTGTATTTTATCACATTCAATGTAAGTAAATTCACTTTTAAAAAATAAAACTATTAGGAAATTGTTATTTTATAATTCTTTTTATAATTTTTGTTTTAAAAAATTATAAAAATCTTAAATATTAAATAAATGGAAGTTGTAGAACACATTGAATATTTAGAACATGAACGTCCTCATTTTACTTTAAATGAATTTGCTGTCATTGCTGAATATATTCATGACTTATCTACAATTACTCAATTTGTTTTTATTTCTAAAAATTGTAAAGAAACATTTGATACTTTATCAACAACCTTACTACCTTTTATATCTCCATTTACTATGACACCAATTGAATTAACTGTTACTAGAACTCTTTCTTTATTAAAGGTATTAAAATATTTTCCTCAGGCAAATTGTATTCAATGTGATACTGACACTGTTCGTATTTTGCCAGAGAATGTTTTTACTCATTACTCTTTTATTGAAATTAAAGAAAATGAAGAACCTTTAAATATTAAAGAACATTTTGCTTTAATCAAATCAATCGCTTCAAAACTTGTTTCTTTATCAATTAAAATTGATGAAGAAGCGTTTGACTTTCCTCCAGAGATTCATTTTTCTGAAATGATTTCATTAAAATATCTTTCTATTACATTCACTCAAAATGAAACGTTTGATTATGCCCCTAAATCTAAAGTTCATTTTCAACGATTTTCAAGACTACAAGAATTAAAATTACTTCCTCGTCTTCAATTACTCTCAGTAAATTGTGAACAATCAACAGCAATTTTACTTGCCCCAATCTTTAGAGAACTTCAATGTATAGTCAATGTAATTTTATTATATTCAGAGGATAATGTAGATATTGTAAAAGAAGTAATGTCAAGTAATGTTATTGTTTGTTGTGAGTATGATTCAACAATGACTGAATATACACGTCTTCAAACAACCATCTTACAACATGAAGGATTATCTGTTAAAGTAGAAACTGTTGGTTCAATGAATTTATTTGAAGAACTTATGGAAAATACATTAGCCTCCAATATTGTAATATATGAAAGAGTTCCAAAGTGGATGACTGGTATTGATTTAACAACATATACCCATATTCAAAATTTACAAATAGAAGGTAAAGCACAAAATATTGAGATAAATATACCAACTTCAGTTACTTCTTTAAAAATGAATACTATAGGTTATTCTATTTCCAATATTGATGATATTCCTTTAAAAGAACTTAAACTAGAAAATTGTGATTTAAATCCAATCTTATTCTCTAATAAAAATCTTAAAAACATAGAAATAAAGTCTTGTGCTATTCATACAACATTCGTTTGTCCTAGTTCTGTTTCTCATTTTTCTTTAAGCGACTCAGAACTTCAAGTTCAATTAAATGATGGTTTGGAAATTGTTGAATTAGGAACTTCAAATCGTACGTCTACATTACAACTTCCTAAGTCAGTTCAAATTTTATCAACAGAAATAAGTGTTTCAATGCTTTCTTTACCAAATCTTCAAAGACTAGACATATCAAAATTACCAATTAACATTGATTTGTTTCCAACAACTTTAACCTCATTAAGAATTTTAATGGGAAGTTCTAAAAAACAAATGGATATGACTAAGTTTAGAAAACTTGAGAAGTTAAGTATTATTGTTTGTGAGAAAGTTCGTAGGATTGTTCTCCCTCATCAATTACGCTTTCTTATGGTATATGGATGTAAAGATATAGTAGCCCTTGACAATCTTAAAAATGGTAATTTGGAAGAGCTTTGTGTTACTGAGTGTAATAACTTACAAATGAAAATCCCTCAATCAATCAAGAGATGTTTTGTTGATATACCTTCTGTTACAAGTGTGAAGTTTTAATTCATTTTCTCTTTTTTAATTATATAATTTAATATATTATTTATTTATTATTTCAATAAAATTGAAGAATGATTCTATAAAAAAAAATCAGTTGTTATGTAACAAAAAGTAGATTTGATTTTTGTTTGAATATAATTCTTTAGAAGTAAAAAATTCACTAAGAATTACAGAATGTCACTTTATAAAGAGATTGATAATCAAGTTAAAATGAAAAATCAGAAAAAACAAGAATTTATCCAAGAAATACCTTCTAAAAGAAAATTTATATTTGAGATGAATGATTTTAATGATGAGATTGAATCGTGTCCATCTATCCCATCTAATATAGATTTTGGGTTTAGACCAAAATTTGGTAAAATACATTTAGTAAATGGGAAAATAGTTGAAGAATTTCCACAACAAGAACAATCAAGGAAGTTCTCAATAAATTCACCAAAATATTCTTTTGACATTTTAAGCCAAGAAAATAAGTTTTCTAACTCATTACCTCCAGACTTTGAAAATGATGACCAAAATGATGGACCTGGTACAACAGTATTAATTCAACCTGGGGATATTGATACAACTCCAGTGAAATCAACAGATTTTCCTCATATTTCAAATGACATTATAGCTAAAGAAAAAGTAACTACTATCAACGAACAAAACTATGAAAGTATAAGCCTACAAAAACAACAAAATGTCGTTCAAAACCAAACACCAAATTTCAAGAAGATTGTTAATATTTCTTCATTGGAAAGAAAACAGAATAGTATTAACTTAAACCAAAATATTTTTGAAAAAACAAATGTAACTACTGAAATTAAACTTCTCTCTTCACCTAAGTTGAAAGATCTTTCTTCAATAAGTGAAGATGATTTACCAATAATTGAGAAAAAACAATTCCATTTTATTATGCCTCAACAACACTCTCCTAAGACAACAGCCTTAGGCTTTGGTTATCAAAGTTTTGAAGAAAATTAAATGTCTTTAACTATCTCCAATCTGTCATTTAAGAATGAATTTCTTTTCATATATTATTTATATTGATTTAATAATAATAATATTTGGAAAGTAGTAAAATATTTTATTCTTTTTAATTTTATTGAACAAATAAAGTAATAAAAAATAAAGTATTAAGACTAAATAAATATGTTTTGTGGAACATTTCCAATAATTTTTAAATGAGAAGAACATCCTTTAAAACATGACTGACCAAAATAACAAATAGTAGAAGGAATTGATAGTTGAGTTAAGTTTGTACAGTCTGAAAAACAATAAGTACCAATTCCTGTAAATGAGTTTGGAATTTCAAAAGAAGTAAGTGAAGTTTGAGTAATAAAATTATGTTTATTTAGGCGTTTAACTGACTTAGGAAGTAAAAGTCCATTTAATACTATATCTCCAAATAACACTTTTTGGTTTACTGTTATTAAGACATTAGGAATTTCCAATTCTTTTAAGTTATAACAATCCCAAAATATATATGACCCAAGTCGATCTATAGATGATGAAATAGTTACTCCTGTAAGATTGTAACAATCAGAAAAACAATCAGAACCTAAAAAAGAAACTGATGGAGGTAATGAAATAGATTCTAATTCATAACAATTAATAAAACATTGTCTTCCAATTGATACAACAGAAGATGGTATAGAGATATGAGTTAAATTTAAACAATCTGAAAAACTACTTGGTTTTAATGAAGTTATATTTGTTGGTATAATCAAACAATTTTTTTTTAAATCAAATCCAGAAAAACAATACTCTTTTATTTCACATACTTTTGTTGGTATATTCTTACCGAAAGTGTCTAAATCTCTTGATGAATAATAAACATGACAATAATGAACATTATCTTTTACTTTTCTATTACACTCTTCATATGATACTTCATAATAGATTTTTATTGTTTTAATTCTTCTGTCATTAAATAACTCATCTTTTCTATTGTATAAACAGAGGGTTTGAAGTTTAGGAAAATACTTTCTTGTTTTTACTGTTAATGAAACTGGGTTATAATGAAACTTTGACATTAAATTTGAATATTTTTTGTTTACCATTTGGATATTTTTGAAGTCATCAATTGTAGCAAAGTATTTTGAAATAATCATCATTGAATATGGGTCAACCTGTGAGTGTGACATAAGATATTTCTTTGATGGAATAAATAAGTTAGATGTAAAGTTTTTCTTTTTTTTATTGTCATTTTGTTATATAAACCGTTTATTAAATTAACTAAATTATAACTACGTTAAAGTAAGTTTTATTCAAATTCATTCATTTATTAAAATATTAACAGATTC